CCCTCCGTCCCTTCCTTCCTGTTTCTTCCTTCCTCCCTCCCTCCTTCTCTCCGTTCCTTCCTCCCTCTGTTCCTTCCTTCTTCCCTTCCTTCCTCTGTTCCTTCCTTCCTCCCTCCCTCCCACCTTCTGTTCCTTCCTTTCTCTGTTCTTTCCTTCCTTTCCCTTTTCCCCTCCCTCCCTCCCACCCTCCATTCCTCCCTCCGTTCTCCCACCCTCCATTGCTCCATTCTTTCCTCCCTCCCTCCGTTCCTTCCTTCCTCCCTCTGTTCCTTCCTTTGCCTTCTCATCTCTTTCTTTTTTTATTTATTTATTTTTTTATTGAGTAAACATTTAAAAACAGGTTGAACACAGTGTGGCTTTTCTGGCTATTATTTTGCCATACATACTATACCATATACCATATACTGTACCATATATCTCCCTATTCATTGATCTTTTATACCATTTACATATTGCATTTTATACTATTTACATATTTATATATTTACATACATATTTACATCTATTTACAACATAACTTCCATTTCCATTCGTATTTCATATTTTTTCTGTTCTCTATCTTACGCTCACTTTGAGGTTGAAAATCTACACTTTCTCTCATCTAGACGAGCTTTCTTTGTTCTGACTTTTTCTCCTCGAGTCTAACCAATAGTATATCTTATCCCAAACTTCATAATACTCTGTTTCATCCTTGTCTTTAATTTCTAATGTTAGTCTATCCATCTCTGCACATATCAATTTTTTTTTAATTAGTTCACTCTCCACCGGGGAATTTCCATTTTTCCAGTTCTGGGCATAGACCAACCTTGCTGCTGTTATAATATGCAACACTAGATATGTCTCTCCTTTGTTAAACTTCCCATCTATCATTCCCAGTAAAAACAGTTCTGGTCTGGGATCTATCTTCAGTCCCAACATTTCCTCCAACCAAGTCTTTATTCTTTGGCTTTGGAACAAGTCCACCACATATGGACTTCCTCATCTCTTTCTTTCCTCCGTGCTCAGGAAGGGGTGATGGGAGGGAGAGATTGCCAGCACTAATATGCTGCTGCCAGCCATTCCTATACCATGGGGCAGGCGGGGGCGGTCCCGTTGAAAGGGATGCCTCATGGCTGTGAGGCTGGAGGTGCTGGTGGGGTGGTGGTGCTGATCTACAACCTAGTTGCATCCATCAAAGTCAGAATGCACTCAGCCTAAGATCCACTGGAACCAGCAAGGAGCTACCCCACTGCCTCTGTTCTGCCCCCCGGGTGTGTGTACAGGAGACGGCCAGTGCTGGCGTTCTGGGTGAAGTCAGCCTGCAGGACAAGACAGCCAGCAGGGATGGTGGACTCCACTTGCGCGCACACCAGGGGGCAGGGCGGGGTTGCCCCATGGATTTAAGGCTGAGCACATTCTGGCTTTGATGGACGCAACCAGAGTGTAGATCAGCGCAGTCCCACCAGCACCTCCAGCCTCGCAGCCACGAGGCTTTCCTTTCACCGGGACAGACCCCCTCCATGTGGGATAGCAAGACCGGCAGCAACATGGCAGTGTTGGCAATCTCTCCCCCTCCCATCACCCCTTCCTGAGCATGGAGGAAGGAAAGAGATGAGAAGGAGAGAAGGAAGGAAGAAAGTGTAGCAGAGAGGGGAGTTGGCAAAAAAGCTTTTTATTCTCTCTCCAGAAAATAAATTTCCTACCTCACTCTCCCTCCGCTTGGCTTGTCTCTCCAGAAAAGAGAAAATAAAATCTTTTTCCCCAGTCAATCTCTTCTTCCCCTTTAAAAATCCCTCCCCAAGAGCCCTGCCCTGCTGCCAGCCACCACGGAGGCCCCCAGAGCTCCCAACCTCTCTGCCGAATCCGCAGAACTCTGGCAAAGCCTCCCAGCCAGTGCCAATCCCAGCCAGCGCCAATCCCCCCCAACTCCCCTCTCCACTACACTTTCTTCCCTCTTTCTCTCCCTCTCATCTCTTTCCTTCCTCCATGCTCAGGAATTGGTGATGGGAGAGGGAGAGATTGCCACCGCTGCCATGTTTCCACCAGTCTTTCTATCCCGCATGGGACGGGGTCTGTCCTGGTGAAAGGAAAGCCTCATGGCTGCGAGACTGGTGGTGCTGGTGGGGGGGGGGGTGGCACAACCATCAAAGCCAGAATGTGCTCAGCCTAAGATCCACTGGAACCAGCAAGAAGCTGCTTCGCCACCTCTGCCCCGCCCCCCAGGTGTGTGCACAGGAGATGGCCAGCGCCGGCGTCCTGGGTGAAGTAAGCCTGCGGGACAAGACAGCCAGCAGGGACGCCAGACTCCGCTTTCGCGCGCGCCCAGGGGACACACCAATGCTGCCCCATGGATTTAAGGCTGAGTGCATTCTGGCTTTGATGGCCGCAACCAGGTTGTAGATCAGCACCCAGTCAGACTGGGCCGGGCTGAGGTGCAGTGGCCCAGTCCTTCACTCTTTCTAGAGCAGGTCCCCGGGCCGGACGGAAGCACATATCAGGCCAGATCCAGCCTGAGGGCTTTGTTTGACATGTCTGACCTAAAGGAAATAAGAGATTAAAGCCTTTCTCTAACCTTCCAGTATCAGATTTCAGACTGCTTTGAATCTTTACTCCTCCAGAAATTGAACCCACATTCAGGAACTAGACAAAAGCAGAAATTTCCCATTTTTTTCTTAACCTTCAAAGTGGAATGCATATATTCTATGTTTCCACAGTTGTTCTGTTTGGCTGAGTTGTGCTGATCATTTTACTAGCCTCATCTCTTATAATCAATAAGCAAATCCTTGCTGCAGATGGTAGGGAAGAATAGAAAGAGTTAAGTCTCTCCTCAGTTGTTACCAAGATTGCTGTTCTCTGTTAAAACTCAATTGATCCATGACCCCAGCCGATGGCTGATCAGAAGGGTGGATGGGTTCCTAGGATTCTGATGTGCTGGAGCAAGAATCATACAAGACTGCATATGCTAGGTGAATTGCTCATATGCAAAAAAAATAGGCCACAATTTTTTAATTTATTATACAGTGGAGTATGAATTTATAGTTTAATATATAGTATATATATAGTTTAAGATAAAAATCTACTCATTCATTTCATTTATCTACAGAACTTGAAAAGAAAAATTATCTACAGATTATATTTCACTGATAAAATGTGATCCAAATTTTGTTGTAATATATTACAAATATATGTATTCTTACATATATACTTTTAAAATAAGGTCATCTTTTGTATCATCAGCCATTAGATCTGCCATACTGAGGACTGCACAACCAAAAGGTCGCCGATACTGTATATTGCAAGTATTTTTCTTTTCACCTGCTCCCATTCGGCCTGTCAAAAAAAAAAATTGTGAAAGAAAAAAACCAAGAGACATTAAAGAAATACATATCTGCTACCATCCACAGTTAATTTAATAATTTTATTGGATGCTAACTGTGCCAATGTTGAAGAACACCTTCAATCGGTCTCCTTCTAAATTGACCTAATAGTATGAAAAATAGAGAAAATGCCTACATTAAACTATGTGAGCCAGCATTCTAAATTTGACTTTTCTTAGAAGCATCCACAGTTCCCTATAAGCCTTCTATTGACATCAAAGAGGAACCAACATTAAATTTCTTAAGCTCCAGCTGTATACATTCACTAAATCTTTTCTCAGGAAAAGAGGTTGACAATTTTCATATAGGAATCCAGTAATTCAGGTTTCTCATATTTCTCTCAGCAAAATCTAGAAAGATAAAAATCATGATACCAAAATCATTACCTTATATATTCCTTCCAATGTTAGGTTAGGTATGTGGCCCTAATAGGTATTTGTCTGATTAAGCAAGTCTGAGATTTTGTAATTATTAAAGTGAACTGTTTGAAATTCGTGGAGTTATCCATGATGTGTATTAATTTCTTACTATGTTGCAGATCTTATAGTTTTAATTTAGCTATCTAGTACTGTATCTTCACTTACAATAATTTATTTCTCTGGTGGGGCATCTAAAGTCCAATCTGATTTAGTACCTGTTCCTAATACAGGTAGTCCTCAACTTACAACAGTTCATTTAGTGACCATTCAAAGTTACCTCACTGAAAAAGGGAATGACCATTTTTCACACTTATGACCGTTGCAGCATCCCCATGGTCACATAATCAAAAATTGGATGCTTAGCAACTAACATGTATTTGTGATGGTTGCAGTGTCCCAGGGTCATGTAATCATCTTAACTGTAAGTTGAGGACTACCTGTACTTGCCAAAAATATAAGATATGCAAAATAATAAAAATAAGAGGTAAAGAACAAAGAAGGGAAAATCATGCCAACAAAAGATTCTAAGGATAACCAACAAGAACTTAAGTAAAATGAAAGGATTTTATTAGTTATCTCTTGTTGAAGACTATATGGAGAGATGATTATTTTCACTTATATGTTGTTAAAAACCACAATTCAATTTCATCTCTACTATTTTGACAAATTGTCAGTGCCTTGTGTGCTTATCCTCTCAATCTGTCTTAAATCCACATGAGCTATATATTTAAATTATGGAGCAACAAAAGGCACATTCTTATTAACAAATCACATGCTTAAATCATTGTTGTCACATTTTCTTTGTTTTAAAATAACTTGCACAAACCTGAATGTTTGTAGTAAAATGTAAAAAAGAACAACATCCCTAGGATCTAGTCTTGGCCTTGCAAGGCAGAAATCATAGGCAACTAAACAGATGCAGCTCAAATAGGAATTGAACTCCACAGAATACTAACTATTCCATTTACACTTGATATTCCACATACACACATAGACAAACACACATAAAATTAGACACACAGACACACAGATACACACAAACACACACACACACACACACACATACATATACATCCAGATAAATCTTCCAGAGTAGCTAGCTTAGCTGAGAATTTAATCTGCCTGTATGAACATTTCAAAGTTTTAAAAATAGTAATAATATGACAACAGTAATAATAACGTGTCAATTCATGTGACTCTGCCCTACAGTTTGATAAAATAGAAAACTGTTTATATCTGCCTTAAAAAGGATATGAGATTGACAAGTAATACATTAATATAACATATGTAAGATCCTTAACAACAATTGCTGTACGATTAGAAGTTTTCTTTCTTTGTCAGGAAGAATTAGTATATGCATACCAATGCGTATAATGTGCACAATAATGTAGATGTCCTTTCTAAGCTCACTGCTTCCCAAATTCTGTGAAGAATCAGAACAATCCAAAATTATCATGTGATTTTTTTACAGTTTATTGATATAAACAATTTTTAAAAATTAAGTGTTCTTCTGCCTAGCGTACTGAATAGCAGTCAAGAAAAAAAAATGGGGTATTCAAATATATTTCATTAACACCACATTTGTACACGTATCTGTTCATAGTCCTGAGAAATATTTGTAAAAAAGTGATATAACCATCTCTTTTTGGGAGATCTTCAAACCTCCAAATCTGCATTAAATTAAGATTTCAAGTCAGAGAATTTGGAATGACTATTTGTAGAGTTCTAGCAGAAATAAATCTCACTGTGCAGTTATGGTTGCAGCTCTGAGCATCAAAAGCTTATTATCCATTTGTAGTTTTACTATAGTGCTGCCAGGAATGTCAGTCAGCTTTTTGAAACTAGATGGAGTCCTAGTTGATCAGATGTGAATAATCATAATGTGAGTGATATTAAACCATAAATGTGATTCTATACATGAAAATAAATCCCATTCAGATTATTCTTAAAACTTAATTTAGAAACTGTTTCTCACAAAATCCCACTGAAATGTTAAACACCATATTTCATATTGGGGAAAAAAGACTCCTTTAATTCTGAGCCAAAATACATCTCATAAGCAAATAGCAAAGCTATCTTTGTGCCTATCATATATTTAAATATAAAATTGCTCTACCTATTAGATACACTAGGCCAAATGGACAATTTATATTATTATTATCATGTTGCTTTGTTCTTATAAACCTCTTAGATATTAGTCTGAAGCATCACTACTGCATACACTCTGGTCATGTATTTGGATTATTGAGCAAGGAATAAAAAAAACCTCATTAAAATACAACAAATAAGGACGAATATATATAAAGCAACTCACCACAAAAAGAGAGCAATATCTTTCTGGCTTCTCTGGACATTTTGGCAAACCATTCCGATTCAGTTTTAAAAAGAATCTCTCACTATAAAATAAATATTATAATTGGAACAGGTAAATTTATCTGTCACAGCAATGTGCAAAAAAACCTCCCTATTCAGTATTTGGATAAATACTTTTTTGTCACTGTTTCCAAAACAATATTTTCTAAAATTCTGGAACAAGGTTGCAAAACCAGCCATTTTTCTATTTACCAGAGTAACTTTGATACTTTTGCTACAAAAGCCAGCTCATTCTATGTCAAAATGCAGAATTTCAGAAGATTGAGATAATTGCTAAGAGTCACTGATATGGAATCAAAGCCAGATGGGTCTTTAAAATAACTCATTGAATCAAGCACCAACTCCTTAATTATATTTTTAATGATAAAGAAGTTGCTGCTTCAGTCAATGAATTATTTTAAATTCATTTAACAACTAAAATGTTACTGAACTCATGAAATAATGTATCAGGACTTCAACAAAGGTTCATCCATTATCATATAGTAACGTTACTGGTAGAAAAATAATACTTGCTTTTTTGTCCAAATCAGTAACAAATCATAGTTATATAGTAAGAGGAGGATAAAATGTGTGATGAAAATTTTCTTGCCGGATAAAAACAAAAATGTCAAGAAGAGAAAAACGTTTAAAATAAGTACATTCTACTTCAGTATGAAGTTTGTTTTATATTTTACAAAAAAAGGAACAATTATAACAGACTGACTACTCAGTCATCAACTTTTCTGTCAAGAATTAGAAACTTAAAATGCAATTTTAAGCTGCTATTAAAAGAAATACTAACGAAAAGAAACAATACTGACAGGGTTAAGTCCATAATTTGAGGAGTGAAGGAAATTCCAAAATTTTGCCATAAATAAGAGGTTGCTCTATGCATTCTTTTTTAACTACAGCTTTCTCAGCTGTTTCTTTAGCTCGTCTCAAGGGCAAGTAATTTGTCACTCATATGTTCTTTTCCATTTGCAACAGTAAAAATAGCAGCCAAAACATATATTCAAGTTTTTTAAAAGACAGAATAAAAGAGCTAATATTAACAGCTGCATTTTGTACATTTTCCCAACCTTCCATAAGGTTGAAAAGTCTTCAATGAAGATTTCATTGTTGTCATTTATATTCAGATGAAATGCTTTAATTAGTTCCAATTCCATATTAGAAATTCATAGGTCTGAAATATTCTATTTTCTACACAGGTTCTAATGTTTGGTGCCAAAATTCAGAGTCTCATGCGAAGTCATAGTTTGCAGGGAAGGTAAGTGATTTTCATGTTGACAAGGACAGATGAAAAATATTATTTGCTAAAGTATTGTGCAAGAGTTAAATTATTCCAGAAAATGACAAATCCAGGGCAGTTAGGTAGACCAGACAGATGAATTCTTTATTGCGAAAAAATGTGGGGGTGGGAAATTCTAGATTTAATAGGATCCTGTCTCTACATCTGCTACAGAAACACATTATGTCTACAGGCAAGAGAACCCACTAGTACCATACAAGACCATGGCCCTTCTGTCATGACTCTTGCTATCACTAGATCTTAAGGCAGACATGTCAAACACAAGGCCTGCGGGCCAGATGCGGCCTGCTATATGGTTCCGTCTGGCCTGGGGACTTGCTCTGGAAAGAGCGAAGGACCGGCCCGCTGCACCTCAGCCTGGCCCAGGCCGACTGGGCACTGATCTACAACTTGGTTGCGTCCATCAAAGTCAGAACGCCCTCAGCGTTAAATCCACGGGGCAGCCCTGCCCTGGACTTTGGGTGCCCGTGCAAGTGGAGTCCTACATCCCTGCTGGCTATCTTGTCCCACAGGCTGACTTCACCCAGGACGCCGGCGCTGGCCGTCTCCTGTGCGCACACCCGGGGGATGGGGAAGAGTTGGCGAGGCAGCTCCTTGCTGGTTCCAGTGGATTTTAGGCTGAGCGTGTTCTGGCTTTGATGGATGCAACCAGGTTGTAGATCAGCGCCAACCCCCCCAGCACCTCCAGCCTCACAGCCACGAAGCATCCCTTTCAATGGCACAGACCCCTTCACCTGGGATAGCAAGATCGGCAGCAACATGGCAGTGATGGCAATCTCTCCCCCTCCCATCACCCCTTCCTGAGCGTGAAGGAAGGAAAGAGATGAGAAGTAAGTAAGTAAGTATAGCGGAGAGAGGAATTGGAGGACGATCGGCGCTGGCTGGGAGACTTTGCCAGAGCTCTGCAGATTCGGCAGAGGGGTCGGGAGCTCCAGCAGTCTCCGCGGTGGCTGGCAGCAGGGTGGGGCTCTTGGGGAGAGATTTTTAAAGGGGAAGAGGAAATTGACTGGGGAAGATTTTATTTTCTCTTTTCCAGAGAGACAAGCAAAAAGAGAATAAACTTCCTACCTCACTCTCCCTCCTTTTGCCTTGTCTCTCCGGAAAAGAGAAAATAAAATCTTCCCCAGTCAATCTCCTCTTCCCCTTCCCCAGTTCGTGCTCATGGAGCCTTGTCCGGAGGCGTTTTGTGGTCTCCCCAATATAATTGCATGAACAGTCATTGAAATTGATTTGGTAGATCACTGATGACATGTTGCCTTTGGCTAGGGGTTCTTTAGGGCGCATTACTCATGTGCGCAGGGTCTGAATAGGTTTATGAGCCACTTTAATGTTGTGAGTTGAAAGTATTCGTGCAGCTGCCTCTGAGACGTGATGGACATAGGGGAGTGTTGCCCAGGTAGTAGTAGTTACTCTGTCATCCATAGATCATGATGCTTGTTGTTGGATGAAGTCTGCGGAGTACCCATTTTGTATACACACCTGGTAAAGGTGTGCCCGTTCTTTAGATTCACAAAACAGGTGTCCCATTATGACCCATTGTATCACTCAGGGGCACCCCAACCTTCAGGTTGGCAAAGTGGCTGAGTAAACAGTTTCAGCATCTGGTTGAAGGTACCTCTACCACCGTAAAATCTGCAGAAGGTTACAAATGCTAACGATAGAGGATGATGAGATCATGGTATCTTTCGATGTCATATCTTTGTTTACCTCCATTCCCCAAGAACTGGTGGTGTTGGCCATGAGAGAATTGTTGCAGGATGAGGAGCCACAGTTTCCGGGTTCACCCAATACAGAGGATTACATACAATTGTTGAACTTTTGCCTGAGAACTTATTTTACATTCAATGGCTCCATATATGAACAGATAAAAGGCACACCTATGGGGTCACCTGTCTCTGGAATAGTTGCTGAAGTGGTTTTGCAGATATTAGAACTTATGGCGATGAACAACTATAAGCCCAAATTTTGGGCCAGATATGTCGACGACACGTTTGTTGTCATTAAGCGCCGTGATGTAACTGGATTCATGAAGAAGCTTAATTCCATATATCCTGATATCCAGTTCACGGCGGAGGAGGAAGATAATAACACCTTGCCCTTCCTTGACGTACTGATCCGTCGTGAGCATAATGGCACTCTCACCATCGGGGTCTACCGTAAAACCACAAATACCGACAGAATTCTCCACAATGACAGCAATCACCCCACTGCCCACAAAATTAGTTGTATCCAGACACTTTTTAATAGAATTAATACACACTGCAATATGGTAACAGAAAAATCTAAAGAACGGGCAAACTTTTACCAGGTGTGCATACAAAATGGGTACTCTGCAGACTTCATCTGATGCTGCCTCCGACAATGAGCATCACGATCTATGGATGACAGAGTAACTACTACTACCTGGGCAACACTCCCCTATGTCCATGGCGTCTCAGAGGCAGCTGCATGAATACTTTCAACTCACAACATTGAAGTGGCACATAAACCTATCCAGACCCTGTGCACACAAGTAATGTGCCCTAAAGAACCCTTAGCCGAAGGCAACATGTCATCGGTGATCTACCAAATCAATTGCAATGACTGTTCATGCAATTATATTGGGGAGACCACAAAACGCCTCCGGACAAGGCTCCATGAGCACAATTAAACGCAACCAAAAATGATCCCAGGTGTGGGACCACACAACTGAGCATAACCACACTTTCGATTTTGCAGGGGCCAAAGTTATTGCCCATGATACAATGAAGGGCGGCCACCTGCTAAAGGAAGCCTCATTATCCAATCAATACTTGATCAACCGGCACATTGAATTACTGCCGGCTTATCGAGCGTTGCGCCAACATGAATTATCGTATAGGGAGCAAGAATGGATGAAACAATGATCACCTCCCTCCGGTGCGAACAGGAGAGAAAAGGAGCACAACCGCTCACCAGCTGATACATCGGTGCAGTGGGAGACCACAAGGAAGCAGACTGGACTCACAGACTCCAGGAGAGGACATCGGACCAACAGGACCAACGATGTGGGCGCAACAGAGGAATGACGAACCGAAACAACGGCGTCACATGTCACCCAGGCATGAGAGTGAGGAGAACAGGCAAGCGGCGACATCAGACAAGCATGCGCCACGAGATGAACGCTCCTGGTAGGCAGGGCAAGTGGGGAGAGGCAGAGCGGCAAAACTCAGATGTCAGCCAGCATGACAGAAACACAACTGATGCAGCTGATTGGGGGGGGAGGGACCGAACAGACCCATAACGCGTGCATTGTCTAAACTATTAGCTTCTCAGGGACTATAAAAACGAACTCCCCAATCCTGGCTTATACTTTGATAACGTTAGCAGTTGCTGACGAAAGCTAAGTTTTAAATAAAATTTTTAGTTTCCGTGATCTGCCTTTGTAGTATATCTTCCTTTGCCTGTCCTTACCATTTTCTATAGAGGGATGATCGAAAGCAACCTGTCCTATTGCATTACAGTCTGGTTTGGTAGCATTACTGCATCAGACAGAAAGGCAATACACAGAGTGGTGAGGATGGCAGAAAAGATTTTTGGCAGTTCACTCCCTTCTATCCAGGACATAGCATATAAGCATTGCTTGAGCAGAGTCCGCAGTATTGTCTGGGTCACTACACATCCTCTTTGTTAAGTCCGGAGAATAATGGCGCTTGAAGCAATGTATTTCTAAACATGTCTTTATTCTCTGACTACAGTCAACGAACAACCCGAGCAGAGGCACGCAGGCCTCTATTTATACCCTCTGATCCCCGGGCAATTTCAACCAATCACAGGCAGTCTTTTCCCGCCTTGCGCATGCGCGCAAGGCTGGCGCCACTCAGTCTGGTCCCGGGCAGCTTTTGCAAATGCCCGGGACTCTTGCATCGTCCCGAGCCTGCTTTTGCAGGCTCAGGACACAACACCCCTCCCCCCTAGATAAAGTAATGCTGCGCCCAACATGGACGCCACCTTTGGTGAATCATTTGTTCACGTACTGTTACAATAAATGTACATAGTGTAAGAGGTATGGTTCCGTTCTGTCTTTTCTGAGAACCAATGCCCCCAACCCCGTTTCCAAAGAGCTAACCAGTCTGGACCTCATGTTCAGGTTCCTAAACTCTTGCTCACCTCACGTAATCTGCAAGGTATTTAGGAGGGCCTTTTACCCGTAGCGACCTTCTCGGACCTGGAGAACTTGCATTGTTTTCCCCATTGCTTTTTACACTAGGTGAATTACCCTGTGGTTGTCTAGTGACTGCTGCCTGGCTTCCCTGCCCGCCTCCAAGGCTCAGGAAGTCAGGACTCTGCTGTTCACTATACCTGGTTGACCTACCTCTTGGGGAGTTTTCTGAGCCCTCTGAGCTCATGTCAGTGTTCCCTGAAGGTATGTAAGGTAATTTTTAAAAAGTTTATAGAAGAATATCTGGGGTAAGTAAAGGACTTGGTGAAAAGTTTGTGCTATTAAAATATAAGCAACACCAATGAATCTGTAAAGCAATACATATCCTTAAGAATGAAACCTATGCTTGTTTGTCCTGCCTATCCCCAAATTATCCAAAATTGAGTCCATGATACACATCCTTTAATTTAAAAAACCCTTTGTTTTAGAACTCAATTGTGTTGATTTATATTACAATGGAACACTGCTTCTTCCACAATGTTACACATCTTTAAAGGCATTACAATGGGAGTTTCCCACGGGCTAGAATCTACAGGCTCTAATATGCCTTGCTGGAGCAACTTGTCCAGTTCAGCATCAATCTTACCCTTAACAGCAAATGGTACTCTCCTAGGTTTAACCCTAATGG